GTAGTGTAAACATAGACCCTCTTACACTGACTGCCACCCTTACTGTCCTGCTAGATTAGTAGTTACAAGTAGAACTAGCTTAATATGTGTAGACCTTTATCTAAGAGGCCTTTACCAACCATGTGCCCCTAGCCCCTTCAGAACCTGTTCTGATTGTTCCAGAAGTTACAACCTATTCTAGAAAGAAAGTGTATGTAGCCTACCCTTCAGACTTTAATAGGTAGCATTTTGAGAACTTCTAGCACTAAGTCAAACTATACATAGCTACTACTTTAACTAATCTATTCTTAGATCTTGATTGTATCCTATTTGTCCTCTCCTTCATGAAGGAAGGTAACACAGCCACCTAGGCTCAGAACTGGATTGAAGGCTATTAGATCAGAAGCCTGATCTGACTTCAGAACAATAAGTCATACTCAGAATTCATAAGGCAGCTCTGTACTTCCTTTATCAATCTGAATAAGAAGTATAATACACAGAACAAGCTTACATCTCTATAACAGGGCAAACGTTCTACTAATGCCTTCTTTCAGGAGTTTGATATCCTGGCCCAGAAGGTAGGATTCATGCTTAGGTTTAATAATGTTCTTATCAGAATACTCAAAAAAGCTCTTCACCTGGAATTGGTTAATAAGATTCTTAGAATAATGTTAGAACTAGTCACCTACACTAAGTGGAAGACACATACTATCTCCTTCAACCAAGCTACAGCTTAGATGTGTTAAGTCTGTACAGAATACTTATACATGTATCTAACTCTGACAGTTTCAAGCCCTCAGATTAATCTGTCTATAATTTGTAATTAATCTGTTCTGATAGACATTAGAGAAGCCTGAAAGTAAGGAGCATACTTTACCTACAGAAAGTCAGGACACTAGATTAAGGACTACCTGTAGAAGCAACAGTATATCTGTTAGGTCATTAGAGTAATAACAAGTAACAAGTAGGATTTGTAACAAGAAGCCTTTTCTACAAATCTGGAAGTCACCTCAGAACTCTTAGACTCTAACTACATACTCTAGGATTTTGTAGAGGCTCAACAGTGAATACAGTACTGAAGGACTATGACTCAGATTTTTTAATAGCTACTTTTGATTCAATAGACACTATAGGATTAGAAGTAAATAAAGTAAGAAAAGTAGAAAAAGTAGAAAAAGTAGAAAAAATAAATTAACAAAATTATTTATTAGAAAGAAAAAAGTCAAAAACAAAAGTAGATAGTTCTCCTATTTCTTCTGATTCTTTTGATTCTTCTCTTTACACTTTATCTGAGTCTAAATCTGTACAATCTGACTTACTACTTCTACATTCTAAGATCTCAGAATGTTCAGAATGCTACTCAGCCCTGTTTACTACTCAGTAGTTTGTCTATAATATTAAGTAAGGATAGTCTCAGCTAAGTTCACAGCTAAGGACATAAGTCTGTCCTTGTTGAAAGAGAGAGGTTAATAAGGAAATGTTAGTGTATATACTTACTCTCTCAGACAATAAGGTTGTACAAACTGTACATTCCTTTCAGAACAAGTAGTAGTTCATCCAAGAACATTCTAGGCACTAGTTCTAAGTCTCTGTCCTCTTGGCTCCCTTCTCAGAATCCCCCCAGATCTGAACAATGACTCTAGTAGATAGTAGATGTACTAGTTTGTACATTAATAAGGCTTTTGTGTAGGAACACTATCTCCCTACTCAATGTGTTCTACTTCTAATCCTAGTATATAATACAGACAGAACCCTGAACCAGAATAGTCAGATTACTAAGTTTGTCCAACTACAGATGACTATTTAGAATCATGAGGAAAGTATTGAGTTCAGAGTCACTAACCTTGGAAAGACAGATGTCTTCATCAGATTCAAATAGCTTAAGACTCACAACCCTACTATTAACTAGTTAGAGTAGACACTTGTGTTTAATCAGTGTCTCAAGTCTTACAGCTACCTTATACTACTGTTTCAAGTGAATACAGATGCTTCTAATGTTACTAACAGTTCTGATGAAGGTGACCAGTTGTTCTTCTTTGACTAGGATAAATGTCAGCAACAGTGTAGAGGGGACCTGAAGGCTCAGCAAGGAGACCCAGGCTACAACTATCCTACACAACAGAAATACAGAATACAAGCACTAGAATGTAGTCAAAACTTACAGAACAGGCAGAGAGAGAGAGTGAGACAAGAGTAGGGTATATAGAGTAAGCCTAAGAGTACAGGACTACCTGGAGTAGACAAGATCAAGACTACAGGACCAGTCTGATCTTGTATACTTATATATACTAAACTACACAAGAGTACTCAGGGAGCATGAGCTACTAAGAATGATGAGCCACAAAGAATGAAAGAAAGGAATGTCAAAGATAAAGGTACAAAGAATGAAGGGATGGATAAAGGGTAAGAGACCATAGAATAATACAAAGAATGAAGGGGTGGTCAAAGGAATGGAATGATGAAGTAAGGAAGGGTAGTAGCAAGAGTCAGTACACATATAGTTCATAGACAGCACTCTTGAGGGACAAAAGTCCTGAGTTCTAGTATGGAAGGGTGCAGAACCCTTAGAACTAAAGGTGTAAGAGTAGAGAACTGTAACATCACCCCCCTTCTAAAACCAATTGTCCTGATTAGTAAGCATTGGGCTTGGTCAGCAGCTCAGACATAGGTTGGAACAGTAGGGTTTGGAAATCTGTGAGGCAGAGTTAATGCAGAGCACCCAGATAAAGTTGATAGAAGTCTCAGATTGCCTTAGTAGTATGAGTGAGATTCTCAGCAGGTTCCCAAGTGTGTTCTTCAACTAGGTATCCCTTCTAGTGGATAAGGAACTTGAGCTTTCTACACACTAGCTTAGCATCTGCTACATACTCTACTTTGTATTCTGGTTTGAAACTAATGAGTTCTGGTAGAGGTAGTAGGGGTCTTTGTTGTGAAGGAAAACCTGGATTGTAGTATCAAGACAGTAGAACCTTGTTAAACACTGGGTGTATGTGCTTCCATGTTGCTAGAAGTTGGAGTTTGTAGACAGAGGCACTAACCTTCTTTTCAATAATGAAGGGTCCAAAGTGCTTGTTGTCCAACTTCTTTATTAGGCAATCTGTGGTCAGGTTAGTGGCTTCCAGTATAACTTTGTCACCAGGCTGGTAAT